CATCAATTTCCAACCATCACCGGTATCAGTTCGTCTAACGGGACGGTTTTACACAATACCTTCTCGGAGGAGGGACGAGGAGACTCAAGAGGGTTAGGAAAAGCTGTTTCAGAATCACCGAGCACGTTGTTAATGCAGATTGGCTGATTGTGGGGCCGATGAATCACGTGCTTTCCGGGCTGCGTGTCCGCACGCATATCGAGCTACGCGTTGACAGAACGGGTCTCCGTGACTCATACCCAGATCCTGAATCTTTCTTTCTGTTCCAGCTGCAATTTGCACAAACGATCCGAGACAATGTTTGCCTACCGTTCTTTTCTTCCATTCCTATCGTTCGAAGCAATAATCATTCTTCTAACGATTTACGACAAAGTTTTACAGAAAATCAAACTATTTTCAAATTGTTCATGAAGATTTGAAAGATTTCGAATCCCTATGAATATGTATTATTGAGCAGAAGTTTGCAATCGATAATATATTCCATAAAATTGAAACATTTGCAGGAAAAAGTTAGGTTAAGTTAGTGAGATAATATTTGACGTATTAAAAGCACTATTGATTGATTAATGTAATGTAAAATATATAATTTATAAAAATTTTCCCAATAATTATTTTCAAAAATCTAAATTTCTTCGAATATTAATTAAAATATTAAAAATTAATATAAAAGAAAATATTCTACTTACTAGTAATCGATGTCTTTATCACAGCAACAATTATCCTTTATTCAATATAGACTTTTCTTTTTATATAATTAATAAATGAAACATGTTACACATTTCTTGCTATAAACACGATGTAACAAAAAAACAGATATTTTTATTACGAACATGAAAATCACGAGAAAATCAATTTACCAACAAAGCAAGAACTATATATATATTATAACCTTTTCTTATATATTAAAAAAGCACATATTAATTAATTAAATTTTTTAATAATAATTAAAATACTAACTAACAAACGGAATTAATAAATTCGAATATTAATTAAAAAATCATGGAAACGAAAGAAGCTTGAAGTACGAAACTATCGAAAGAAGCTTGAAGTATGAAAGTATCGAAAAAATCGATTTATCGATAATCTATCGAAACGTATCAAAAATCGAAGGATTGGTCATCTAGTCGGTTAACAGCAATGTCCGTGAATCAATCAATTACGTAGTTTGAGAAAAGTTCAAAAAAGATTGCCAATTGATAATCTTTATATACGCGTGCTTATCAATAACATCTACTGTAGTTTTTAAACGATAAATAGTAAGTGGTTATGAGTATATGGCGCATTGAATAGTTTGATACGTCTTTTATTTTTTATTTCCTACCTTCACTCTTCCCACGTTTCATCTCTGTGATTATCAATAAAATCAATACGATCGAGAAATAAATATATCGACATATGAAATATTTGAACGTAAAACGTGTTCAGTTTTCAGTATTTTAAAGAAATTGTACGAAATTTTGTAAAATTAACCAATAAATATTATTGATTTGTCGAAATTTAGTTAATAGAATTATTTGTTGTTAATTTAAATTTAAGCAAAAAAATTATTTCTTAATTAAATTTATAATATTATTCAATATAATTTTGTATCAATTTAAAATTAATATTTTAGATATTAATAATAATTTTGTTCATAAATATCGTTTTATGAAAAGGATACGATTTTTTTTCATCTAAAAATAATTCCTAGATTAAAATTATTCCAAATTTTTTATGAATAACATTCGTTTTCCATAAATATATAAAACTTAATTTAAATATACAATTCTTTTTAAAAGTTCAGTATATAATATATTTAAAACTTTGTATAGAATATATTTCTTTTATAGAATCATGACAATCATTTTTGATCGATTTTTACGTAATCTGGTACAAGATAGACCTTGGCAATGATAAACCTTGTTGGATGTTATCTTTACTTGGAACCGAGCTAAGAAAACCGAACAGATAATTCAGAATCTCGAGTATATATTGAGATTTCAAAATAATTTTGATGACATAATTCTAATTCCGAATTTTATATTCGAACGAACGACAAATTTTATAAGATAAACGAACCTTTAAAATTAAATTATATAAATTATAAATTGTCTGATTATTTCATTTCAATCATAAAATATCAAAAGAAAAAAGTTAACCTATAAATTGTAACTTCTCAATTCATTATTATCAACTAATAAATTTTTATGCAACAAGCCTTTGATACATTCTTGCTATTCAATGCAATGTATTACTAATTCTTAAAATCTCTTATCAAAGAAAATAATATTCTTATAGAATGAAATATCACTAATGTATAACCTTTACGCGTTAAAATCAACCCTAAAGATTTTCTTCGATCTTTTCGAGGAAAGAAGTTTCTAGAGTCATGAGATTTCTATTAAAACTTCGTAATCTCCAAAATTACAGAGGTGGCAACCCTGACGTAGGCATATAATATGTGTTCATACATCATATAATCATACGTATTTATACATTCAAAGCATGGATCATCATATAGTTCGATAAATTGCGTAAAAATGTTAAAGCAAAACGAAATAAGAATATTACTCACCCATTGTATCGTCGATCGTCCAACGAAGCTAACCTTTCCGAGGCTGTACAGGTCAGAATCTCCGACGCCTCATACGCGCGATCGTTCTCTGTTTGCCAATCGAGTCAGCGGATTGATCGATAGTCGCAGTTACTCGAACGGAATCGATTTGCGTCTCTGCAACCAAAACAATGGTCGCGTCTCTCTCTCGACTTTACGATTATACATCGTTCGCGTTGAAACGTAAAAATAAATAAAATGATTCACGCGTTACTTTTATTTTTGTGTTTATGAAACAATAATTTAGATAAATAAAGAAGAAAAATCATGGTGAAATTGTGATAGTGTATAGAAGAAAGAAGAGGAAAATAAGTGAAACACTTTTTTACATCGAATACATTCATTCGCGATTAAATTTAAAAATAAATATGGCGTTCTTTACATATTTATGAAAAGAAAAATTATAATAAAATAGGAGGAAAAAGCAAAAAAGTGAACGAACAATTATTATATTAAATATAATCACTCAAATTAAACATAAAAATACTACTATATAGAAACATAATTCAGTCAGATAAAATTTAAAAGGTACGATAAAACGATAGAACGATAATATACGATAGTACATGAAGAAAAAAAGAAGGAAATAAACGAAGAAACATTCACTTATGCCGATTATACCCATCACATTTAAAAAAATAAATAAAAATATCGACGACGAATTATTCATGCGTGTAAAAAAATCTAATCCAGATTCAAATAAAGAGGAAAAATCGTGACGATAAGACAATAACCACAAAGTTAAAATATATATCAACCAATATAATTAAAAAATCTCAAACAATCTCCCATTCACCTTCGTTTACTCGTGTTCAAAAAATATAAAAATAAAAAAAAAAAAAGAAGAAATACTTACATGTTTATAGAAAGTAAGAAATCGTTTGATTGAACGATGACGTAGAGGGAGGAAAGAGGGGACGAAGTGGAGGAATACTGGTATAAGAGGACCGTCGATTGTATTTCACCGTTATGTCAGACGCAAGAGAGTGAGGAACATTCCTGGACCGTGTCCAGAAGCGATCTGAATTCCTCGCCGAGGAAATTCCAACCAGGTTGTCATTCCACGATCTCAAGGTGAACACAGTGATACGCGATGTGTCGCGTATGAATGAAAACTGTGGGCTCGACCTCCGTATGGAACCACCCTTTGCTCGTGCTCCAGTTAACGATCGGTGGGACGGGTCGATTCTTTATTTCACGTATGGAAGGGTCGACCCTCTTTTCTCGGCTTTGACGCAACGGATATCTTTGAACTGGATTTCTTAAACGATTTTTACCTCACTGGTTGACTAGACACTTTCATGTATCGAGGCAAAGGATAAGATATGAAGATAGATAGATGGTTTGAAAGCAAAGGGTGGAAGATTGGAGAAAATGAATGATTTGTGAGTAATTTTTTCATATTGAATTATTTCAATTAATTGAAATATGATTGATTTAGAAGATTTATTATTAATTGATTTGTTCTTGAATTGCAGATGTTGTTTATTGAAATTTTTATGAATGAAAATAGGTAATAGGTATTATGAATGAAATAAGGTAATTATATATAGATAGTGGATTGTGATGCGTTTAAGAATAAAGGAAAGATGATTTTGAGATATTGGCAATAATATTAATTTAGTTTTGATATATTTAAATTGATAGATAGTTTTGATATTAGATTGAATTTTAGTATAATTGTGTTCTGAGATTTTTATGTGTAGAAAAAAAATTATTGTATGAAAATAGAAAAGCAGAAGATATTATGCAACAAAGAATGGAAGGTTTTGAAAAATATATATTTGTTATGAATGGAAGATAATGCTTGTAGATATCCAAATTTTTTGAATTCATTCATTGAAATTTATTGAACAAGGATGAAATAATTGAATAAAGCTCTACTTTTCTATTTTCATTTATTAAGAAAAAATCATTCAAGTCAAGAGATTAATGAAGTACTTGGAATTTAGATAAAGCCAGATATATAGAAGTATATATAGAAGAATAAAAAAATATAGATCCTATCTTTAATATTTATTTGATAATGGAAGATAGAATCTCTGTGTATATTGAATAAAATATTTCATATACAGAGAAGAATAGAAGAAGAATAAAAAAATATAGATCCTATCTTTAATATTTATTTGATAATGGAAGATAGAATCTCTGTGTATATTAAATAAAACATTTCATACACATAATAAAAAGAACCTCAATATTTGTATCTTCAATCATAATTATTACATCTCTGGAATTACATTTCTGAAATTATAAAAATTAAGTAATCATTATTAGAAAATAAATTTTAATTTTTATACAATGAAGAAAGTAATATAATAATACTAACTGTTACAGAAAATGGAGGATTTTTTAAACATAATATAAATGATGAAAGAACAATATCCAGGAAGAAAAGTTCTAGAAATTTATTATTTATTTAGAACAAATCAGGTATTGATCATCAAATAGGTTATTAATATTAACATCGTTATATTATAAATAGCGTATTGAATCTGTTCCATTGGAAGTCGAATCCAGAATGTCGGTCATCGATAAAATCGAATAAAATTCATCGTACCTCTGCGAAAATTTTGTTAAACATCTCATGACTACACACCTATATGTGAGTTTCATACAAAGTATTCCGTACGGATTAAGACAACATATGCCTTCAATATCTATGGTATGTTATCAAATATTTTCTTAATCCTGAATCAGTATCTTCCTTAGTAACCCTATAACAAAATTTAAATTAAATTATTTAATTTTAAAATATGTTAAATTTTATTCTATAGAGATACTTTCCATTTATGTATCTTTATTTTACATATTTATACAATATAAATTATAAAATTAAATATTCTAAAATTAGAAGAATAGAATAAGTCTCAAATTTTAATAGATTATTCTTTCTTTAAAAAAAAAAAAAAAAAGAAATTATCTCTATAAACAATTAAATAAAAAAGAATTTCTTTTTAATTTAAATTTTAATAATTCATTCTTAAAAAATTGCTTGATTTTAAGGATTAATTAAAAAGAGATTATTTCAATATCATCGAAATGGAAACGAAAATCCGTAGTATTTACTTTCTCCTGGCATTCTGGTTCGAGCGCCGTTTATTTACACATTGGCGATAGTATTTCTAAGAATAGTGTAAATACATCGGTGGAGGTATATTATCACACGAGTACCAAGGTGATTCTGTTTTTCATGTAATTACAACCAAGAGACAATTCGTGTTTCATTCTTATCGTTCCGTGTTTCAAGCTAGTCATTTCAACCGACCTTTCAGGTTAGACAATTTTACAGTGAACGTCGTTGCTAATATAATGTCAAAGATAATGTAATAAAATAAAAAATTGAGGTAGAAATATTTTTAATGTTCGTTTCCATGTTCGACGAAATTATTTCTATTTGTTGAATTTAACAATTTTTAAAATTAAAATTAGAAAGTAAATATTTAATAAAATCCAATTTGGATTAAGTAAGAGGAGGTAAGTGATTGGATAAATTGAATATAAAGTGATAACAATTATTTTTTAGGAACTTTAGAAACTTTCTTTAAAAAAATGAGTTATAATATTGAATTGAGTAAATTTTAAAATTGATATTTATTAGGAAAATTAAAAGTCTGGACGTTATTCTACTACTGCCCAAATAAAATTGAAAAATACTCACATAAAAATTTTCTATATTGGCTATGCTTCATAAAATTAATTAAATATAAATAATCTTTGTAACATATATCTGTAAAAGAATCAGAAAAAAAAGAGAATTAAAGAAAAATCACATCTATAAATATAAAAAGTAAGTATATAAGTATAGAATAAAATCATTACCACATCTTGATACATTCTTGTCTTATCTATTTCATTCTATTCATCTGTACAATTTCTACACAAATAGGTTTCTTTCATCGATTCTAAGAAAATAGATAAAAATAAGAAAAAATAAAAAAAAAGAAGAGAAAGAAGCAAAAACAAACGAAAACATTTTACGCCTCGGATGCATGATTTACGAAGTCGAAAGTAGACCGGCTCGCAATCGGTTGCGTTTGAGGAAAGCGACCGGTGATTCGAACGAGCGATGTATTTCCTCGCGTGTAATTTTTCCTCGTGGCCGAAGGAAACCGGTCTTCTTTATCATCGCGACGATAAGTCCCTGCTTGCGCAACGATTATGCGCCAGAGAAACCGTGCTTCGTATGCAAAAAGCGTCCCCGTTCTCTTTCTTCTTCCTTTTTTTTTTTTTTTTTTTTTTTTTATTACGAATACGAAGATTCTTCTTCTCTCTCTCTCGCTAAGGTCAAGAAACTTTGATGGAATGTAAGTAATGATATATCGGTTTAAATGTTACGACGATTAATTTTTTGGGAAATTTTAATAAGAAAAATTTTAATAGAATAATGAAATAATTTTGAATTTTTTTTTTTTTAATGCTGGACCGTGAGTTTACGAAGGGGGGGATAAAAAATTGGAATCGAGAGGGAGATAATTGATAAGAAGCGGCGGCGAAAGTGATTCTGACAAGAGTGGTCGAGAGGCTGGACCATTCGACAAGTGGGGAGATCTGAATCTGGATTGGTTGTGATTCAAAGGCCAATAAGAGACGAGGGATCACGCTTGCGCAGCATCCGGAGATCTCTTGGAGCATTCATCTCTGCAACAATTGAATAATTCAATTGTAAAATTAAATAAACGTAAGTAATCCAAAAATAGCTTTGCTATCAAGAAACTTATACAGTTCATGATCGATAACAATATCAATTTCCACTAATTGATTTTTCTATTTTAATTACACTATAATATATATTTTCAATAAAAAAAGAATATACCTTACAAAAATATCCATCTTCGATATCTTTTCTTACTCTAAAAGAATGCTTATTTTTCTTCAACCACCTTCGATAATCACCAAAATCCTTCAAAAGGATTCCTTCAAACATTTTCTCCAAAGAGAAGATAACTAAAATTTGCTAAAACAAAAAAAAGAAAAAAACAATTAAAAATACAATCAAAAATAACAACATGAAAAAAAAAACTCCAAAATTAAATCTTCTCGATTCCCTTTCGCGATTCGCAAATTGCATCTTTCCTCTCGAGGAAAAGGGCAAGGGGAGAAGAAGGAGAAGAAAAAAAAAAAAGGGTCATCCGGGAAGGGAGAACCGGACGAACTTGGGCGAGGAAGAAAGGTTGGCCAAGGGGCCAAGATCCAAGGATCGTAGGGTCATATACCTGCACGAGCCCAACATTGTCCACTACCTGTTCGACGAAGAGCGTGCGTGTGGAAAACCTGATTCTCGCCCCCCTCCCTCCGTTGGGGGACTCGATGATCCGGCGCGAGGGGCGCAGGTCAGAAGAGAATCCGAAGGGTGAAACGTTGCGCAGGTACACGAACCCTTTTCCACAAGGATCCGTAATCTAAATATGCCCTTATTTCGCGCTATAACCCTTTCCCTTCGGATGTCGAAAAATATCTTTCGATAAAACAGTGTCATCCTCGACGCTCCGATTGGACGATTCCACGTGGTGGAAAGGAAGAGTGTGAGGAGCGGAAGGCTCCAACATTTGGAAACGGGTCTCTGGAAGGGAGGAGGGAAGAAGATGGGCAGTGGACTGGAGAACCGTTGACCGTTCGCGAGGAAAGAGGGCGAGAGAAGAGAAACGATCTATTTCGGATCGACGATGACTCGTTCTTGCAAGAATCAATTTCTTTAATCGATTAATTTGGAAGGAGGAAATCGTAATTAAATGAAAGTCCCTTCTGGTGATTAAATAATTTGTATCTCGTTTTTGTACTCTGGTTTTCTTTAGAAATATGGAAATATTGGAAAGATAATAATCAATAAGCTATAATATAATTTTATTTTCTTGCAGATCTTGATGATCCAGATTTTGATTCGACAAAGAGATTGAAGGAAACTTTAATTATTCCTTTAAATAAAATATGAGTGAAAGATTATATGAAATAAAGAGAGAGATTTTTCTTATAATATATTTTAGATGAATAACAAAATTTTAAGAAGAATAATGAATCTTTAAAGAATTATTTTCTTTCTCGAGAGACATGTTGGAATAAAATTAAAGATCACGTTAAAAAAAAAAGAATTATACACCGATGATGAAGTATTTCTGTCAATTTTAAAAAAGAAAAGAAAAAACATGATAATGAAAAACTATGATTGTCATAGTAAAAAAAAAAAAAAAAAAAAAAAAGAACGAAAAAAGACTCTGTCAAAGCGAGGTTTGTTGCAAAATCAGCATTAGTCACGTTGTAGTAAATAAATAAAGATAAAAAGTAACGGTTGCAAGAACGATGGACATGGCATAACTTGCTCCAATAAAAATCTATCGATCCTCCTTTTTCGAAAGATTACACGTTTTCATAAAATCTTTATGTCCTGCAACAATTATTATGTTCAACATTTTTACGCGTTACCGTGTACATTAATCTTTTTTTTCTTTTTCTTTTTTTTTTTTTTTTTTTTTTTTTTTTTTTTACGAACAACGAAACAATCTCGTGATTTCGTTTCCTAGGACGTGACGCGATCATGAATTTATATAATCGTTCTCGACAGAATTCGACATCTTCTACAGCTAAAAAGCGATTTTTTTTTGTCAAGTATATCTATTGAATAATGTAAAGAATACGATGACGTATAACCTTCCGATAAGAGGCGATAAACTGACGTGTCTGGTTAAATTTCAAGGCTTTGGTCGGAACACGTATAATTCTCGGAGAAAAATTCGCTCGACATTCCCCGATTTATCACTTTGCCAGTACCTGCCCATATTGTGGATATCCACAAATCAAAGAAGTGGTACGCGCTGCAGTTTCGATTTTTTTCAAAGCTGTTGAATTTTTTCGAACGTTCAAACTTTTAATTCAACGTCTCTTCAACTCCTCAAGCCTTTTTTTTTTTTTCTTCGACGTTAAAATATTTTTCAGATTCTTCGAACATTCACATTGTGTTTCCCCTCCTCGACTTCCAAATTCGAGAGAAAAAAGAAAATTCTAGATAATCGCAGAAAAATTTCCAACGATCTCTTTCTCGCCACGATTTCAACCTCGTGTCCGTTGCTCCACATTATTAAAATTAGACTACCACCACCCAAGCATCCCCCATAAAAAACCCAACGGTCAGTTATCCAACGATCATTCGTCCAAAATATCAAACCGACCCACCATCGTCCAGTCTCAAAGTGGGGACGAATGTCCGTTGCTCCAGTTAACGAAATGGCTCTAGTTTTAAATGAAGGAAAAAAAAAAAAAAAGGAAGAGAGAGAAGAAAAATGAAAGACAAACCGTCAACCCTTCTTTATACTGGAATCTTTGAAAGATATATTTTATAAGATATATTTGAATTAATGGTCATATCAGATTTGTTTATTATTTTTTATTTTTTTTATTTTTCAATGATATAGTAGCTTGAGATCAAAATGCTTCAGATATCACATATTTTGTCATTTAAAATGGAAGACAGAGGTAAAATCATTGGAATATTCTTTTTATAATAGATATAATGTTAATTAATTCAACAAAGCTACATTGATTAGGAGGAATATTATATAAATATTGTTGTTATCTAAAATTATTAACTTGGGACTATATTTACACTTAAATTTGTTTTGTTTCTTTTTTTTTTTCTTATATTTAGCGCATTATTCTTTTTTTTATTTTTATCTAGATATATATATATATATTCATTTCAAATATAAAAATAACGTTCTAATGATTTACATCTTCATTATAATGCTGAAGTGTATGAAAAAATTTAAATATAAAAAAAAAAAAAATCTATAAAACACGCGAATGAATATGCGAAAAGATAGAAGAATGCAAATGATTCGTACAAAATATCCATAAACAAATTACATATTGTAATGTTTAAAAAAAAAAAAATGAAACAGATCTTTGTTTCAATCCTATTTCCATAATTTTCATAAAAATAACATCTACATTTGCATAAATGGTCTACCAATACAACTCCAACTCCATCCTTTTTTTTACTCTATCGTTCGAGAAAACTTTTCCCAAATAAAAACCATCCCTCGATTTTCGTTCGATTACGAAGTAATTCTTTTAATTTAATAAAAAAAAAAAAAAAGAAAAATAAAAAAAATGTAAGATTTTAATTTTAACAGGAGCACAGGAAGACAAATGTAACGACGCCTTGCATCCCTTAACGGTTCACCGTATTGCCTCTTTCCCATCGTTCGTGGATGGCCACACGTGAGCTGGACACGAACCGTGTCTAACGGATTTCTTTTCGACCTGATTTAAATAGGTTCCTCGTCGTATCGCGTAAAACTAACAGTTACGGACCAACACACACAGGGTGTCCAGGTAAAATTCGATGACCGATTCTTCTTTTGGAGGAAGGAGAAGGCCCAGAATGCTGCCTTCTCCAGGTAGCCAGTGATCCCGTCCACGGAGGTTTCATGGGAATTTAGGCCGACTGACCATCCGAAATTAGAATATCGGCGACCCTTCGGCCCTTGATATCGTGCTCTCGGGGATGGACGTCCCTTCCTCTTTTTCCTCCTGATCCATCCACACTGTATTCTGGAGGATGAAGGTAGGTCCTCGTGGAAGAGGTGGATGTGACCATGGTCCAGGGGATGTATGGGAAAGTGGGGTGGTTTATCGGTGGCAGAAGTGTGAGAAAAAGGGTGGTTAGGTGGTCTTCTTGGTGGTAGCTTTGATAAGAATTGGAGGGGTGAAAATGGAGATATTGAATTTCGATGGGATCGTAGAATTAAATTTTAAGAATTAAACTTATCCTTAATGTTTATCCTTAATGAATTATATGTTTTCAGGAATATAGAAGGAAGCTAAAATATACTTATAAAGATATATTTTCTTCTTGATGAAAAGAGTATGTCGTCCAACGATAACAAATAATATAAAAGGATGAATGAATTAAATTTTTTAGAGGAATTGTATTTTAATTAAAATATCCTACTGATTCTAAAATTAACTACAACTATCCTTAACTTAACAAATATGACTTAAATTTTCTTCTTGATGAAAAAATAATATAAATGAAAAGATAATATGAATATATAAAATATATAAATATATAAAATATATAAAATGAAAAGATAATATGTGCTCTTACAGCAACAGATAATATAAAAGAAGGAATTAAATTTTTTAGAGGAATTATACTTTAATTAAAATATTCTAAAATTAATGATTAACTATCTTTAATGCTTCTGAATTACTGCAGAAATAGAAGGAAGCTAAATATAGTTAACAAGTATACAGCTTGAATTTTTTTCTTGAATAAAAAGAGTGTGTGGTCCAACAAATAATATAAAAGGAGAAATGAATTAAATTTTTTAGTGAAATTATATTTTAATTAAAGTATTCTGTGATTCTAAAATTAATGATTAACTATCCTTAATGCTTCTGCAGGAATATAGAAGGAAGTTAAATATAGTTAACAAGTATACAGCTTGAATTTTCTTCTTGAGTGAAAAGAGTGTGTGATCCAACATATAAAAGAATTAAATGAGTGAAAACAAAAATTAAAATATGTGTATTCTTTCTGAAATGGGGAAATATCTCGAAGAGGGAAATATTCAGGCCACGTTAACAGGTCCTATCACGCTGAAGTATACCAACGAGTCGTCGGTCGGTTTTGAGCTTCCAGAACAACTGATACATCGCGATTAACATAAATTTACAGAGGGAACGTCCGGCCTGTATTACTCTGGGACCGACTATCAGCGTGGTAACTGTCTGCTTTGCATACAAGTTAATCCTTAAACGTTATTTATTATCTATAGATTTTATAATGCTCGTTGAACGATCGAGACAAATCTCTATCCGAATATTCTTTCCATATAACTAATATTACATAATAACCATTTTATATTTCCTACGTATTATTGTGATGTATGTATGTTTGTTCTGCCAGACGATAAAATTAATTTTTTTAGATCGATATCTAAATTCAATCGTTCATTA